ACCGTAACATAAATGTTTCCTACTTGTGCTTTTTGTGACGCATGAGAGAAGCCACCGTCGCGTGCAGGATCCAAGCACGTCATTGGACGCCTTGCTGCATGCCCGCCGTAGTCTGCCCAAGGGCCATTTCCGGTTGCATTCATCCCACGTCGGGCAATATGCACGTGGGATGGCCAGAACGACAACGATCGCCGAGTCGCTGGGGAGCGTAGGAGGCCTACGGAGTCTCAAACCCACACGCGATCCTCTGCTGGTGTCGTTGGCATCGTGCTTTCCACAGTGGAGAGGTCATTACACGCTGTGCAGTGGTTTTATCGCACGTGGAGATGCGCACCACCGTCTCCACGACACCCGCGTTGGTACTTCACTTCGCAGAAAGAGTACATGGATGCATTACATGATAGTCGCTCGCTACATAAGATCGCTCCATGATGCGCTGGTCGCCTTGGCGGCGTGGCCAAAGCGGACAACCACTGGACGCGGCGCTTCTCGCAGCCGGGACAGCGTTCGATTGAGCCCGATCCCGTGCATGCTTTGCCCTACACAGAGTACGTCGTGGTGGACGCTGCAGTGCTTTCCGGTACCGTTGACGGCCACGACGGCGACGCCCGGTTGAATGTCGGGGTACCGGTGGGCCTCGGAGCCGGCCATACACTCGCGTACGATTGCATACCGCTTACCGTCGTCCATGCTACGCCGTACCCTTCAGCCTTCGTGAGTGAAGAAGAAGGTACGTACATGAGCTTGAGACCGATGGCCTTTTGCGTAAAGACCACGTCAAACACGTCCTCGGGTGTCGTGACCTTGATGGACGGCGGTGGCGTCGCACGAGGCGGCGGCGACACCATCGGCGGGTCCTCCGAGTCCGAGTCGGTAAACGCGCTCACGTCGGGCGACCGCGGTGGTGACCGTGCGATCGCAGACGATACGACCGGCGACGGTGGCGCAGCAGGTGCTGATGACGCCCGGCGCGCTCGTACGACGATCCGCGGCTGGTCCGTGACGACGGCCACGTTGGGCTGGTCCGGCGACGTTTGAAAGTAGAGCGCCATGAGCGAGAGGAGCTGGTCCGTGTCCTTGGCGCGCTGCCGCATCTCTCTCGCGACGCGTCGGTTCTCGCGCTTCCCGACGATCGCCATCGCGCAGAGCTGCTGGTAGAAGAGACCGTCTTGGGACGTGGTCGCGGCGAACCATGGCAGCGTCGTGTACGAGTCGTCGGGCATGTCGAGGAAGCTCTTGGCCTCGACGACATCGTTCGGCGCCACCGACTGTCCCAGCGGCGCCGTCAAGTCGACCTCTACAACGAATCAAGGAGTGTCGATGCAAGATGCACGTACCGCGGCCTTGCGTTGTATTGAAGAGCGCATCGAGCGCGATCTGGTGCTCGGTGAGGTCGCGTGCCTGGTGTAGGAGCGACTCGGCAGGCAAGGATGCGTTCCACGAGAGATCGTACGTGCGCAGCTTGGCCACAAGCCTACGACGCATGAGCCAGCATGCATGCCATCGACGACGCACCGCAGTGGCACGGCGACGCTCGTCGTCTCCGCCACCATCGACGTCGTTCGACTCTGCCTCCTCGAAGCATCGCAACCCGGCGCCGTATCCGGACGAGCTGCCTCTACGGTTGCGATTGGCCGCTTTGATTGGCAATTCATTTTCATTTTCATTTTCAGCAAAACAATCAGCGACGTCTTTCCCGCCCACATGGTACGCAGGCGACGACGACCTCCATCTCCTCCGGCGAACTACGTCGTCTCCTTCTCAATGGTCATGGACACAGGCCCTTGGAGTGAGAAGGCGGCGGGAGGCGCGCCCGCGGATGCTGGCAAGTCGCCGAGCCAGTAAACGCAGCGTCGGGTCGAGTTCCATGCTGCCTTGACGCACGCGCGATCCAGTGCACGCAAAGTACATATGTATGCACGGGGTGGATGTGTGTGCACTGGAGCGCAATAGCTAAAAGGTCCCATAGCGCACCGTCGTGGTCTTGACCAGAGCAGGCGACTTGGAGGAGCCGCCGCCAGCACCACAACCAGGGTTCTTGAACCTATACATGTACTAGGACTGTAGTACAGAAGAAGGAGATGACTTACGCATGCAAAGGCCACGCGCAAAGGCTTTGTACTATCGGAAAAAGGAGAACGCGAAACAGCTTTTGGAGGTGCGAGCGAGCGCGGGTTCGAGTCCATCGACTGCGCTTGGCACGAGCGATTCACGCATCATCGAGATTATGAATATTATACGTTGAAATTCATAGCTTCTGCTGTTAGACCTGGTGTGTACCGGTAGGCGCACTGCGAACACCATTTCGCTGCTGGAGTCGCCTCACGTTGCAGTTGCCAGCTTGATGTTTGAACTGCGCGTTGATTGCTCGAAATGCCGTTTCTTTTTGACCAATCATACTCGTCTCGCCGCCCGAGGCTAACGGCGTCAGCATGGTCGGGCCCTGGCTGTGCCACCCCGGTCACTACCACAGCTTCCAGTCGTCCGAGGCGCCACCCAAGGAGCGACCATCGTACTTGGCTTCGCTCGGCCTCTCGCGCGCTGCGCCCAAGTCGCCGAGCGCCCACTGCTTCATCTGCCATACCGTCCTTGACGCCCACGTCTGCACGTGCTTGGCATGCGGCCTCGCCGTGCACCGCGCGTGCTTGTCCAAGACGCAGCGAACGAGCTCCATGAAGCGCGAAGACCGGGTCATTCCTATCTGCACGTCGTACCTCGCGCGCACAATGGCCCCGTCGACGCCCGAGGTGCACCCGACGCCAGCGTCGCCGCAGCTCCAGCTTCTCGAAGAGCTGTCCCTCGACCCACTGCACGTGGTGTCGCCGCGGACGCCCCAGACAACTGCCGCAAACTCGAACGTGGCGCTCCAGTATATCCGCCGATACGCGCCGTACGTCGCGGGCGGCGTCCTCGTCGGTGGCGCCGCGGTCATGGGAATGCCCATGATGGCGCTCACTGGCCTCGGCGTCGGCCTCTCCACCGCGCAAGGGTCTCTTGTCTGGTCGAGCCGCGCGTCCAGCGAGGTGCGTGTGCTTGGCGAGTGGTCGACCATCGGCAGAACTCCATTGACATAGCGCACCAAGGCAGCGATGGACGTCAACTGGGCCCGGCGCATTTGTTGGGAGCTCAAGCAAAAGGCCGACATTGGCGACAGCTCGTACAAGCAAGACGCAGCGCTTCTGCGCAGGTAAAAGCCGCGAGCGACTGTTGCCGCGTCGCCAGCCTTGCCGTACTAGGTACCACAACGCCACCGACGCGCCGCCAACGACCAATGACGTGTACGTTATGCTCTTTGGTCTCTGCGCGTCGACGGACGAGCTTCTCGGGCGTGTCAACAGTGCGCTCTGCGAGGCCTTTCGCAGCCGGCGCAAACTCCACCCGTATTCATGTTGCGATGGCGATATGTGCGACGAGACCATTTGTGTGGTGTAGGGGCCTCAAGCAGACCCTCGAAGACGCTCAAGTGTACGTCGGGCACGTCTTGGCAGTCACAATGAACACGTATCCCGCGCTCTCGACCACCGACGAGAGCATCATGGACGCGACCGAGGCCGTCGAAAAAATCGTGTACAGGTGCGCGCACCTCAACTTCGCGCCGCATGGCTCCTACGACGATCTCGACCGGGTAGTGACATTTACTCGACCGTCTTTACGGCCTTTCGCAACGAATACGCCGCGCACGATGCCACACTGCGCGCCTGTGTGCGCGAGGTTCCAGTTCGCGCGTGGAACAAAGTCTCTCACGTTCACTAGGTGCGCAACCTGCGGCCAGACATGTCGACCGAAACGTACCTCTCAACGGGGTCGGCCATCGAACGCACCGAGACGGCGGTCGCTCTCCAAGTACGTCCTCCGTTGCTGCAATGCAGTCAATAAGTGCGTCTAGGCGCTTTGCTCGGTGCAAGAGCTCACGTACCCGCTCGGGAAGCTCCATGCACTCAGCCGCAGCTTCCGCGCCCTCTGCAACGTGGCCGAAGCTCGGTTCGCCTCGGCGCCGAATGCGGATATGCTCTTGCCCATGGTCATGGACCTCATCGTGTATGCACCCACGTCGGCGTTCGTTGCGCACCTTGCATTTGTGTCGACGCTGACGCACGGCGGCGGGCGCGGCGTCGACGGCTACGCGCTCACGACCTTTCATGTCGCCTTGCGCGCGTTGGCGTCCATCGACGTGGCGGTACGAACGATAATGGACTATCGCAAACGGTCTTGATCATATTTGTGAGTAGCCGACCAGCGACGAGGACGAGGACGATGCCACGACCGACAATGATGACGAATTCTTCGATGCGGTCGAGGGTTAATCGCGCGCGGCGTTGCTTAATTTAACGTGTCCCATACGAGTCGACACAAGTTGTTTGTCTGCGTGTAGACTCCGTTGTAGACTGCACGTTTCAAACCTAGCGCGAAACGGCCATTCGGACAACACCGACGCACCACCACCGTTCATTGCTGTGGTCCAGCGTTGTTGTTGTTGTTGAAGTGGGTCGCCTATTACAAAATAGAAAACAATGCTAAATAGATTTATCGGACTGTCTTCGTTATGTACACTCGGTGGAGGGACTTGATGTAGGTAGGCGGAGGCCGGAGCGGAACGAGGAGACGTCGCGGCCACTCGTGTTGGGCGTGGAGCCGGAGAAGCTGACGAAGAGCAGGCTGCGCGGGCTCTTGAACGAGGCTGTTTGGGCTCTTGAACGAGGCTGGTGGTCTGTGTTGTGCTGGATACTACGTCGCGAAGCTTTCAACGTCTCTTGGCTCCAGCACGTATCATCCCTATATGCACCAAAACGAGACTCAAGATAGGATGGTGGAAGACTTTGTATTATGGTTATGCGACGGGTGGGAGGAGCGCCGCACTCGACTTGTATCGGGCTTCTGGGGTCGGAGAGCGCTGGAATGCCGTCGGCTCCATGAGGTTGTTTCGCAGCGACACTGTGGCCGTCACCGCCGCCAGCGCCGCCGCCCCAGCCTCGCCAATAAAATTATGGTCCAAGTCCATGACGAGGTGGCGGCGGTGCGTCATGCGGCTGGCCAGCGCCAACGCCCCGGCGTCCGAGATGCAGTTGCCCTGGAGTGCGAGCGACGTGAGGCTCGGGCTCTTCTCCGTGACCTGAGCGATCCGGTGCGTGATCGGGTCGTGGAGGCCGTCGCAGTACACGTGCGAAAGCTCGAGGGCGCGGAGATGCGGGTACGCCGTCGTCTCGAGGCCTGCCAGAGCCCACTCGACGGCGGTGTTGGAGCTCGTGTCCATATCGTCCATGGCCACGTCGCCAAAGCCAAAGCGGTTGTCGCCCAAAAGCCGGAAGACGGCAAGGTTCGGAAACTGATGCAACCAGCGCGCGCTCGTCGGCAAGCGGGCCGCGTGCAGCACGAGCGACGTCACGTGCAGCGGGACAATCGACTGCGCGGCGCGGTTGGTCGCCGCCAAGGCCATGACCGACCGCGTGTCGAGGAACGTGCAAATCGTTCGCAGCGCGCCGTCGTGCCCGTCGAGAAGGAAGCTTGACGTCGCTTTACGGCGCTTGACGAGGCTGCTCGTCGGACTCATCGGCGCCTTGCGCTTCTTGCTGGCTTCGCTCTGCTGCGCGTAGAGCTTGATGATGAGCGCGTGGAGACGCTTGCAGAGCGTGCGCGGGTTGCGGTACTCGTCCATAGAGTGGGCGCGGGAGTAGAGCGCGAGCTCGGCGCGGCGGGCGATGCCCGAGATGCGCGCGTCGATCGTGCCGTACTTGGTCTTCAACACCATGAGAACGTGAAAGAGTACAAAGCGTCGCGCAGAGGCGTCGACGTCCGACTGCCACTTGTGGCGCAAGGTGGCGTCGAGCGGCGATGCATCCATGATGGCGACGCTTGTGGAATGAACCGTTGAGTTGCACGACTGCACACCACAGCGTGCGTGGCCTGCCCAAAGCGGCTGCGTACCATTGTTGCTTCAACATATGGTTTTGACGTGTTTTGATTGGTGGGTGGGAATTGAATACGTGCACGTGATTGGTGGAAAGGAGACTGGCTTGACGCGGAGACTGCCACGTGTAGAGGCTGTGCGCCCTCTCCCAGCTCTCCCGTACATACTGGGCGTCATATACTGCGTTGCTCTTGACGGCGCAGTCAGGACTGAGCGCTGGGAAAGAAAGCACGTTCGAGGAAAAGGCCTCGCTCGAGGACCTCGGGCGATACAAACAACAAGTGTTGCGCAAAGGGTCCTGTCTGTGTGAGGGCCTGCAGCGTCGCGTCCCACGAGTACAAAAGCGCTCGACCGCCGCAACTTCAGTCGAAACGGTCCGGTGTGAAAATGGACGGTCGGTGCGAAGCCGCCGTTGACCGCCCATTTCTGTATCACGCCGCCCTTCCTTTCTCTCGGCCATGCAACTGCCGTTGCTGTATGAGGCCATTCGCCGTCGGGACGTATGCCGCTGGAGGAGAGGTGAGGTAGCTCGCAGCGTCGACTTGCGTGGCCTGATGGAATGCGACGCATCTCGAAGACAAGATATGACAGCCGGTTGGGCACGCTTGTTGCTCCACGTGAGGGCCATGACACCCCCTGCTTGCGCCATGTGTGACAGCGGTACGATGGAGGAGTACTGCACGACTCGCCAACTTGATCGACGAGAGAGGTCGCACAGGAAGTTTGCTGCTATAGCGTCCAATCCGAGATCTGAGAGTGGCGAACTACTACCAGCGTCGCTGATCCAAGATAGCCACAATTAGATGTCTGCAGTGTCTGGTACGAGTTTGCATAAGAACAGCACGACACTGCCATGCGCAGAGATGACGGGGAGGCTTGTCGTCCAACATATTTGAAGAATGGATACTAGCATTCTTTAGTCCCAAAAGGGCGAGCTTGGCTCAGCTTCATTGCCTCCGAGGTCGATAGCCTCCTGAATGCACCGATACCGGTACCCGTTCGTGGAATCGTCTGGAGTCTGGCCTGAAACCTTGCAACTGGACGTTTGTAGCATGGATAGAACATGCATCGCTTGGTGGTGCCTTTTGAAACTCAGATTCCAATAGTATGTGGTCCCACCGGGAGTGGAATATCGCAACATGTCGATCTCACTTGGTAAGTAATAAGTAGTGCAATGCAAGCGGGCGCGATTACGTCCAACGTCGGATACCTCCAGTGGACGTCCCTTACAGTATAATCCTGCGGGCTACATGGCTTTTTGTGCAGGAAACTCACGAAATGAGATCTAGTTTGTCAGCGTTTTCTCGAGGCGTGAACCCATGCATGCATCTCCCATGTTTCGATAAGACTCTACCGAGGGGTCGTAAGAAGCACTGGCATCAGGGCTCTTAACATGGACCCGGCGAGCGCTTGCAGATCCAGAGACGTATCTTTGGACTGTATTTGCACCAGTCATCACCGACTACAGGCTACGACGATGCTGACACCTGACGAGATCTTTGCCGACCTCGAAAATGCGAGAGAGATCGTGGACTGAGAACACTGCAGCAATTGAAGACGGGTCTTGTCGCTCACTTCCCATTGCTCCTCGCAATACTCGAATGTGGTTCCGCGCGCGATTGCTCCTCTCGGCGACATTGCTAGCTACTGCTGCTGCTACAGAACCCACGGCATGGCGCTGTCTTCAAGGCATCAACACGCCTGTCGCGCTCACATCGTCCGGAGACGTCGCTTGCCTCTCGGTCGACGGCGTCAACTGCCAATGGACGGCATCGGCGTCAGCCTGTCTGGACCGAGCCCGGTCGCTTCCGAGCGTCATCAAACCGCTGGTCTGCGGCCTCGCGCACAAGGTGCACTGGGGCATTACGGGCTACGATACACCAGCACATTGGTGCGCGCAGGCCAAGCTCGCGCTCTCGGCGACTGACTGGACGTGTCTACCGGGCGTCTTGACACCGCTGCGCAAGACGCTCGCTGGTAACGTCGAGTGCATGTCCGCCGACGCCCGCACCTGCGTGACCGTGCCCTCCTCTGCGGCCTGCACGGCGCTGGTTGCGGCGCCTAGCAGACCGGTGCAGGCGCTCACGTGTGGTGCGATGCACGCCGCGTACTTTAACGGCGCCACGGGCTACGATACGCCCGACCACTGGTGCCGCGTCGGCGCCGCCGCCCTCACGACCGAGCCATGGCGCTGTCTCTATCCCATCGTCGCGACGCCGGTGCGTCTTTCAGGTGACGGTGTCAGCGAGTGCCTGCCATCGTCGACATCGGTGGGCTGCCACACGGTCAGTTCGCAAGCCGAGTGCATGGCGCTTGTGACCGCAACCACGTCGTCATCGGCGCTTCGAAGCGACTCGCCCGCCTTCCTCGCCTTGTATGGAGACAGCGAAGTGATTGATCCAGGGTGCGCTACGAGTGCGCCGTTCCTGAGCAACGCGCTGTGGCAGTGCCCGTTCCAGACGACAACACCCGTGCGCCTCACCACGTCGGGCGATGTCGAGTGCATGTCGACGGACGGCCGCAATTGCGTCACCGCGTCCTCGTGGACCGACTGCGTGCGCTTGCAGCTCCAGCCGCCTCCTTCTTTCTTGACGCCGCTCGTGTGCGGTGCCATGATGGAAATGACGCTCGGCGTCTCCGGCTACGATATGCCCGACCACTGGTGCGCGCTTGCGATGCCCAAGCTGTCAATGGCGCCGTGGATGTGTCTTCCTGGCATCTTGACGCCGATCCGCCTCAACTTCAACTTCGACGTCGAGTGCCTCTCACTGAACGGCCACGACTGCGTCTGGACGAGCTCCGAGGCCGCGTGCCGCACACAAATGACGCTGCCCAGTGCGCCATTGAACCCACTCGCGTGCGGCGCGATGCACAAGGCAGCGTGGGGCTTGACCGGCTACGACAACCCTAGCCACTGGTGCGCCAAGGCCTTTGCGTTCTTCGTTGCGTCGACGTAAAATGTATTGCAGATGCAGCCATTTGACGAGTGACGTTCTGACGTGGCAGCGCCGAGACGCAGCTGGTCCGACACGCCAACCTGGTTCGCTTGCACCCATGAGTAAGGTCGTGGTTGCAAATCCGACTTGCCGTTTGAAAACGCTTTTTTTGATGGGATGGTATGGTCTCAGCCAGAATATATTATGGACTTGAGGGATGGGATTGAAGCAGTCTCGAAACATCCTTGGAAGCTCTGCGGGTGCCCACGTCAGTTGAGCGGCTTTCCGCTGACCGTGCTACACTGCCGCCTTCGAGTCTTCATATCAGACGCCGCTGCTTCAACGGAGAAGGGCATCGCTTTTGTGAGGCCGCTTGGCTACTCGTGGCACGGCTCGGCCGGTCGTGGACGTCAAGCATCAGATTGGCGTCGAAGTTCTCGGAAACGTAATGCTTTGAAGCATGGCTATGCAGGCGGCTGCGTGTCGCGTGTCAACTCGAAGAGGAGATGCAGTCAGATCAAGCTCGTGTCTTTTTGCGGCCAGCTGCAGCCCAGACAACAAGTCCGCGGCAATTTGTAAGCGTCGGGACTTTGCACTCTGCGATGGAAGGAGGCGGAGATCGATCGGACCAACAGAAGGATCCCTCATGGCTGATCGCTCTCGACCGATCGCAAGGATCTTGGAGCTTTCATATGAGAAGGTTACAACTGCTCTTGGATGATTGCTGACCGGGATCATCCCACGCTGCACATACCCGGTGCTGCAAGTTTGCGAAGTGGTTTCTGTGTAAGACATCGTCGCTTCGATTACACCACACGGGGCCTTTAGCGCTTGGCCGCAAGCGCACCGACACACTCAAATGCTCTTGTCTTCTTCGCACCTAAAGTAAACACGTCTGTGGTCCGAAACCGCCAGCTGGAGGACCGAACAGGGTCGACGGCGTCGTCGTCGTCCACCGCCGTGCGTCGTTATCGCAAGGACGGTCCAATTCGTCGTCGTTGCTGCCGTCTATTCGCCGTACCGTACTATCTGCAGCGCTGCTATGAGCGTGCGCTGCTATTCTGCGGATCGCCTTGCGCGCGTTGCTATCTTCCAGCACCCATTTAGATCGCAAAAGTGCAATTTCAATTGGATGAACCACCAATCAAAACGCGCCTCGTGTCAATTGCATCACTGTGATTGGCTGGATCGCAAAAATCGGCCCATACCACATGGCCGGCGGTCCCCAAGCCATCACGTTGACTCATCACGGCCCTTCTATCCCTCGACGGGCGAGCGCGGCAGCGCTCAACGAGGCAGCGGCCATGCCACAGATCCACGGTCGCTCGATCTCATGGCTGTCTACGTGTTGATAGGAGGGCTGTCGCATGCTATGCATGGAAAAGACTGGACCGATAAGCTCGTGTTGGAAGGGGAATAGATCCGGACCTGCCTGTCGGGTGCCGACCAGGTAACGTGGGACACGAACCGACGGGCCAACGGCGGAAGAAAACAGGTGGCTGCGATCTCAGACAGGCGACCCAACGAACAAGATCGACCGACCGGGATCTGATACACTTGGCCCGACTCGCTGATTGCCTTTGCTCATTCTACATTTTGCCTGCCTTCGCTACCATGACGGCCGACACGAAGAAGCCGTTCTTGACGGTCGAGGATATGAAGATGTGCTTCTCGCTCTTCTGCTGCGTCTACGGTATCGGCACGCTGGGCATGCCCGGTAACTACGCCCGCGCCGGCTACGGCTGGGCGACCGTCGCGCTTGTGGCCATGGCGGCCATCAACATTTACGCCACGTGGTGCATCTCCCATGTCATGATGGTCGCGCCCCGCAGCATCCGCACGTTTGGTGACCTCGGCGAGTGGTCCATGGGCTGCTTTGGCCGCTGGATCACCAACATTGCGCAAATGCTGGTCTGCGTCATGGTGCCCATCATGTTCCTCGTGCTCGGCGGCATCATCTTTACCATCATGTTCCCGTCGTCGTTCGAGGACTCGACGTGGATCATCATCATGGGGATCACGCTCCTTCCCGTTTGCCTCATCCCGACGCTCAAGGAAGGTGCTGGCGCCGCCGCGGCCGGCGCCCTCGGCACGATCATCGCCGACGGCATCGCGCTCGGCCTCCTCGTCTACAACCTCAACGACGTCAACGAAGGCCTCTCGCCGCCGACGCCCAACCTCAGCTTTGAGCAGGTGACGACGGTCTTTGGCAACCTCGCGCTCGCGTACGGTGCCGGTATCGTCGTCCCGACGCTCCAGCGCGAGCACAGCGACGAGACGCGCATGCCCCGCATCATTGTCGTGACCCTCACGCTTGTCTCGGTCTGCTTCCTCATCGTCTCGATCACCGGTGTCTCGGTCGCGGGCTGCCAGATCCCGGGCAACCTCCTCTTTGCCATCTCGGGCCCCAAGCTCAACTTTACGGCCAACCGCGGCGGCGTCATCCTCACCATGATGGCCATGCAGCTCCACATCACGATCGCGTTTGCTGTCGTCATCTTCCCGGCCTTCTTCATCGCCGAGCGCATCGTCCTCGGCCTGCACAAGGTGACGATCGAGCGCAGCGAGCCGATGAACTACAACGACATTGAGACGCCCAACGTCGAGCTGCCGGAGAAGACGTCGCAGCTCGAACCGATCGAGTACCCGTCGCACGATGCCGCGTCCGACTACGCCGCGCCCGGCGCGTACGTCAAGGCGGCCATCCTCCGCATCATTATCATTGTCATCACGGTCGTGGTGGCGATTGCGTGGAAGGACAACTTTGGCGACCTCTTGGACTTTGTCGGTGCCTCCTCGACGTCGCTCAGTTGCATGATTTTGCCCATTTGCTTTTACCTCAAGACGTTCTGGAAGACGATCAAGCCGCTCGAGAAGGCCGGCGCCGTCCTCGCAGTCCTCGTCTGCGTCGCGCTGGCCATCTACGTTTCGATCAACACGGGCAAGGTCCTCTTCAAGACGGTGGAAGCGTCGAAGGTCCCGTTCCCCTTCTGCGCCGCTGAGTACCAGAACTATGTGTACACCAACCGCACGCACTACAAGCCCTAGAGTGTGCAACTGTTTTAAAATGTGTCGTGACAACAAAGTGTCTTTTATTCCAACTGATGTGCATTTTTTGTCTCGGTCGCCTGCTCCAGTGTCTAAAAAGACGCCGCCAACCGCATCATCAAACCGGTTACAAGGCAGACGCTGGCCAGCTCATCGAACGGTTTCCCTGTATGTGATGGTGGCAACATCACTCCAAACGACGACATGAGCAGCACCGTGCGTGATGTCATCGTCGTTAGCCACAGTGACCTTTTGGACGATATCACAAGGTCAGTGCCATCCCTTGATGGACTACAGCGCATCGAACTTGACTGCAGAACTGTTTCTCACGTAAGGTGCGTCACAGCGTTGGCACGAGCCCGTAAGCTCTCCCTTTGTGTCCGCATGTTGACTGCATGCAATCCTAATGCTAGCAGCCTAAGCAGCGCGTAGATCGACGGCCAACCAGAGACACGCCCAGGGCTCTTGTCATGACAGAATAACGACGCGCTGCGACGGCATGGTATTGCGTGGACGGCTCGTGTGGCCTCTGCTAACGTTATAAAATGGGTGTCCATGGCTTGGTGGGTCGTTGGCGGTGCAGAACGCGCCCAAGGGCATCCTGGAGACTCGGTTCCTTCTCCTGTGTCGGTCGACGGGGTGCGCGGACCGCCCGCCGCCGCTCCATCGCCTGTTGACCATGGTGCGGTTGTGCCTCTACTCAGCGATCGAGGTGTACGTACTTCGTGGTGCGCTGAGGCGATAGCGGCTTCTCGCGCGCCACGGGCTTGAGTGAGCGCCGTGCGGAGGTCGCTAAGGTCCTTGTCGCCCCGTGCCTTGACGGCGCGCGCGAGAGCAGATGACGCCGCGTCGACGGCCGTCGTCGTCGTCATCGCCGTCTCGTCAATGACGTCGGGCGAAACACCGCCATAGTAGATGCGAACACGCTCGCACTCGAGCTCGAAGAGCAGCTCGGTGTAGTCGTGCGCCATCTTCTCTCGGTAGGGCCGGTCGCGGTACAAAATGGTGTCGCCAAATTTGCCGTACAGCTGCTGCAGCGTGTTCTGGCAGTACGTCGAGTGGGCTTGAAACAAGAGCAAGAGTTTGTCGCGTTGGCGTTGTTCCTACAAGTAGTAGCCACTTGCTAAAATACGCTTGATAATTTGATACAAAACCTTGAGGCGCTCGGTCGAAATCGTCTGAAAGTGCCGCCGGGGGTCACTCGCGACGAGCTCAAAGTCGTGGATCTTCTGAAGCGTGAGCTCGCGGTCGGCAATCGAAACAACGGCCTGTCGGTAGCATTGAAACATCAGAAAAATACCACGGACGAGGTTCGAACCCGCTCCCAGAGCTCGAGCGCCGACGCCAAGTGCGGTGCGTGCGCCTCTTGTGTGTACTTCATGACGACCTCGAGTTTGCACTTGGCGCTGAGCTGAAGCGCGGTAAATACCGACTCCATGCGCTGCTGCATGTGCTGCCGGAGGGGACACGGCATGCCATGCTTGTTGTCCGACGTCGCGACGCCTCGGAGGGCTTCTTCGTATGCGAGTTCGTGCAACCGGTCGTTTTGCGTCCGAGGGGACAGCGACGATGTTGATGGCGTCTGGGACGCTTGCCGCACGAGGCGATCGTACGCTTCCTTCCGAGCGAGTGACGTGGCATCGTTGTGGAGCAGCGTGCGTGTCGAGCTCGGCGTGGGCGTTTCGACGGAATTCGAAAGAGGTGCTTGGTGGTCAGGGACGCGTCATCGTCGTTGCTTGCAGCCTCCGCGCCGACATCGAGCTGATCGGGCGCCGTGAGATCGGTGTCGTTATCATCTGTGCTCAGCACATGATCGTCGTCTTCAGGTACCGCCGTCAAGGTCGAATCGCGGTGCGCTGTAGAGCTCCGGTGTGCCAACGCGAGAGGTGTTGCTTGTGCAGCATCAGCAGGCACAGATGCGACGTCGTATGTGCTGAGACCGTCGAGCGAAGCTGCAGCCTCTAAAGGTGGTCCATGACTATCTGTGACATCACTCGACAAGGCTTCGTCGTCGCCGTCGACGCCGTGTAGTGCTCCGTCAATCGGAGCAGCGCTCGGATCCAAGTCGAGGCCGAAGAGATGCTAGCCACGAGAAGCATCGGACTCGATATCGACCATATCTCTTTCGTACCGAGAGCGACGACTCGGTGACAGCTCCAATCGCGGTCGCTGTCTGTGACGGGCTAATTGCACTTTCCGAGACGACGGCCTCGGGCTTCCAGTTGTAACAGTACATGGCCAGCGACGCATAGGGCGTCTTTTGGCCTTTAATGACGGGCGCCGAGACCTTTTTTCGACTCTCGGTAAACTGCGCGAACGTGGCGTCGGGCTGCGATGGCAGCTGCGGCTCTGTCCACGACGTGCTATGCCACTCGACGTGTGCACGGGCGTGCGACGTCTCTGCCGTGCTCGGCTGCATTGGCGGCCGTCGCCTTGAGAGCAAGGCGAGGTGCTCCATGAGCAGCACAGACGTGTCGATGTGCACCTTGGGTGGCAGCACAAGACTCGGCGTCTCGGGCAGCGGCGGTCCGCACTCGACGAGCCGCATTTCGTCCATCTCAAACGACTGAGGACCCTACCCACACCCATGTAACCGTCGTCACGTCGGACGGATAGCATGTCGTACCATGTACAAGAGCTCGACGTGGCGCACGTCAAAAGCATCGGGAAAGCGCGGGAAATAGGCGAACGGCGGCAATGCCGTCGCACTGGCGTCTGGCGTCGCCGCCTTGGGGCGCACCATGTGCGGCGTCATTGAGATCTTGAGGCGCGCAAGGAGGTGGATATGTGCCTTGGTTTTTGCCGTAAACTTGCGCGGTGACTTGGTCTTGACTGTGGTCGCCGCAAGGGCCTACCAAGGACCATAATGTCTCAAGAACCGATATACCCTTGTCCGTACGGATGCCTCGGCTGCGCGCTTCGCCTCGAGATCTGCCCGCTTTTGGGCAATGTAGTTTTGCCGGTGCTTTCGCGACGCTTCCGTGGCCTCACGCACTTGGTCGTCGTGCGCAATGGGTTTGGCCGGCGTTCGGACGACCGTGTGGCCCAGTGGCGCCGCCGTCTTGGGGCGTCGAGGCGTCGTGAGCGGCGGCCGATTCATCGATGCTGATGACGACGCCGACGCGATGGCCTTTTCCAAGATGGCGTCAAAGTCCGTTCGCTCCAAGACGGCGAGCGAGCACGTGTCGGACGCTACAGTGACGCGCAGGGTGCCAGGTTGTGCGGACAAGAGGTCGACTTCACCACAGAAAAAGTGCTCAAAGGGCTCTCTACACGAAAAGTCATCCTCTCTCTAACACGATATTCTCGTCGCAAATGCGCGTAGCGTACTTTTGAACACTGTGGCCCGACTCGAGATGCACGATGAGGCTGCCTTCGACAAGCACATAGAGACAGGTCGAGGCCACTTCGGGCGAGACAAGCAACCGGCCTCGACGCGCCACAAGAGGTGTCGTCGCCTGCACCATCTCGGCCTACCGATCACATCGTCGTCCTCGATGATGTTTTTGATTGACATATTGTACATACCTTGTAGTGCATGGGAATGGACTTGAGACACGATACGTGGCATAGCACACAAAGGATGTGCCGGAGTCGGTCCGCTGCCTCGTCGGCCTTGACGCCTACGTGAACACTGTTGGACATGAGCTTATGACAAAAGGTCACGTACTAGGGTGCGCAGTATGGTTGTGGGCAACCAACGGTCGACTTGCGACATAGCTAGCCACTTGGTCGAGGAGGATTTGCTGGTGTTGGTGCCGGAGCCGCGGACTCTCTTTGGCATTCTTGGCCGCCGCGAACGACGTCATGGCCTCGAGCTTGAAGCGCCCGAGCGTCATGTGTCCCGGTGCGATGGCCGCCGACGAGTGGGCACGCAGCGCTCCTGCCTTTTCTTCCAAGAGGTCCCAAAGCACCTACGTACTCACATACGCATGCTCAAAACGAAACATAGATCGTGGAGTACCCTTTGTCGCACGGTATCGGGCGTCACTTGACTCCGCAGCTCGAGCTTGAACGTGGTGAGCAGGCGCGTCGAGGTCGCGGCCGCGGAGAAAAAGCCATGGTTCAAGCTCCGTTGAAACGAGACGCGCAGTGACTCGTAGAGTGCGTGGCCGAGCGACTCGATCGCGGACTGAATGCAGTGCATAAGCTCGTCGTCGCTGGTGTGCACATTTTGCGTCTGCAGAAAGGCCGCCATGGCGGGATCCCGTTGGTCGTGCCAAATCGCGCGTAGCACTTTGCGCGTGTGCAGGCGCAGCTCGGCCTGCCATGTCCCGTGGTCGCTTGCACTGAGGTTGTTGTCTGCATCGTCCTACCCCGACAGTCAGCTCCATGTGTCAGTGGTGCCACGAGTCCGACCGGCAGCCACATCTCGGCGCCGTCGTCGAGAGACGCTTCCGGCATCGAGATGCGCTGGCGTCGCGACGCCACTGGCGCGAGCGCGTGGTCGCACTTTCGTGTGTCGCGAATTGAGGGGGGGATGTCCCCCGGGGGGCAATGTCCTAATCGTTTAAGTGCTCAGCAACCAACCACTGTATCGTCTGCATCGAATGCTACGTCGCTTGAGCACTTCGGCCTTGGACTTGGTTGCCACGAAGACAGTGTACTCGCGGTCTT